TGCATTGTTCCTTAATCTTCGAATTGGATCTGGCTTATTATTTTTTGCAGACTGTTAGAGCAATTTTATAAAAGTAAGCTTGAACTTTCGATTATGTCAAATAGAATTTCCGATGCTGGAGCTGCAAAAGAATCTACAAAGGAAAAGCATGTTTCGATGTCCATCAAACAAAAAGTGGAATTGCTGAAAAAAATGGATAAAGGCACAACTTTTGTTTCTCTAACCATCCTGAAATCGGTTTATCAATTTCACGATGCTCTGTGCGGATGGGGGGGGGTGACGTCGTGGCACGCAATGAACTGGAGTTGATCTGTCAGCACTATCCTTATCTTCAGGGCAGATGTTTTTATTTTATTCGGCTTATAATTCCTTACTAAATGTAGTATTTCATCTCAATGTACTCCGTCTTTGATATGATTTAAATCAAATTCCTCGTCATTATAAATATCACGAATACAAATCAAATAGTTTTATGGTTGCAATTTTCTAATTTCGACTATGCGTAATGTATGCTTTACGCATGCGCGCATTGAAAGAAATGTTTAATAAAGTAAACAAATAAATATTAAGCTTTTTCTTTTGTAAATTCTGATACCCTTTAGATCATAATTGCTCTTTATTTCATAAATTACGGTTTCATATTTTTTATTTTATAATTTTTGAATGTCATCTTACTAGATTTAAACTGATGATCTATAATCCGGAAAAATCGATAATCCGGAATCGCTGAAGTCCCTACGAGTCCAGATTAAAGACTTTTAACTGTATATATCAATTTATCACAGGTATATTACAAGGATATTATTACAAACTATATATTTCAAATGTGTTTATTTTTGTATTCTATTGGCACCATCTAAACAACAGCCGACCTTTCACAAACTCTGCACATATAGATGCATACTTGCCAACCTATGACACTCAAAAATCAGGAGATTTTTTTAAGAAATCAGGAGATTTTTCACAATGTTAAAAAGACTTTTTAAATGATAAAATATAGTTTTTAATAATGAATTAAACTTTAAATAGTTTACTAAGTCTTAAATGCAAGCAAAACAAAAAATACCTTAGACATAAAAAAACATTTTTATTACTTTCATCGTTTAAAAAAAAAAAAAAAAAAAAGGCACTTTAATCAGTTTTCATACAAATGTTATGGACAGTGGCAGATTTTGCTCTCGTTAAGAAAGAAACTTCATAATTTTGTTCATAGCAATTGCCATGTAGGCCGCTTTCGCCAATAAAAGTTTTTCTAATGTGTCATCACTAATATTAGATCTAAATTTAGTCCTCGTTTTTCGCAACAACACTGAAAAATCCTCTCACACTCTGCATTACTATGGGGAACTGTCAAGATGGCCAACATAATTCTAGAGAGTTCACTATATTTTAAAATTCCATCAGCACCTTTCAATTTTCCAATTAACCTCCACTGGGTGTCAATCCTAGCTGATTTTATAACTTCATCCAAGTTTTCTAAATGTAAACTGCAAAATTGCGACTGCAGTATATCAGTAGCAACATCAATATCATCATCTTTCATGACTAAACGAAGTAACACAGGAAATCTGTTCAAAAAGTACCTTATATCAAAAAAAAAAATGCATTTGCTAGAGCAGAAACATCACAAACTTTAGCATGCAAAATCACTTTATCGTTGACTGGAAATTTATGTAGTGTGTAATCACGTACTTGACAGATGTAACTTCTAACATGAAGATAAAACTTATTTTTGTCTTCTTCTGAAAGTTCTTCCACTACTTTTGTAGTTGCAGTTCCTATTGCCAAATCTTCATTTTCCTTCTGATTTTCTGTTTCACCATAAATCCACATCATATATAGAATTACAAGACAAAACACAGACTGGTTTTACAAACTTTGAAAAATGTCTTTAAACAGATCATAAATCATTGATTGCAAAACATGAATTAATGGAATTCTGCTTTGTAGAATTGTGTTCAGAACATCGAATGATGGCAAAATGAACTGTAAAAAAAAAGCAAAAAGCTTTGTTAAGGTCCGAAGAGAAAAACATAAATATTCGTTCTTCACAAGATAAACTTACAGTAATCGGAAAATGTTTCGTGTGTTGAGCAATTTTTTTTTTTTAATTTTGAGAGAAATTTGTATCAGCTTTACGCTTATATTTTGCAGTATTATTTTGAGAACTGCCAGTTGAATTGCTGAATGATGCAGAAATTACAAAAAATCAAAATTTTTCTCATTTCAGTATTATGCAGCTGTTGGAACTGTTTCAATTTTTCCTTTCTTTTAGAACTCCTTTCAAGATAATAATAAATATCAACAATGCGTTCATCCACATTTAATGGTAAAGAAGCTGCTCCTTTTTCAGCTGCTAAATTTAAGAGGGGAGGTGACAGGTGCACCTCATAATCTGCAAATCTGAATTGCCTTTCTTAAGATGCCTGCAACACCAGTCTTCAAGCCTACCATTACTGGTGCATTATCGGCACCAAGCGCTAAGCAATTATCCAGAGGGACTGCATTTTATTTTAAAGTTTTAATAATTAGCTGTGCTATATTAAAGCCTGTCGAATGTCCTTCTAAAGTGGGGTCACAAAGTAAACTGCACTCAATTTCTGAAGACTCTGGATTAAAAAAAGAAACAACAATTGGATACAGTTTTGAATTGGTATTATTGCTTCCATCCGTAGAGAGGCAGAACGGAGTTGTTTTAATGCAATCAATAACTGACGATTTATTTTTCAAACCCATTTCTTTAACAATTGCACCTGTTTTGGTCCTTGCATTTGAGTATTTCTTAGCGATTTCACTATCTGGAAACATTTTTCTAAATAAAGCTGCAGCGTGATCCGATGCATTCAGTGGCAGGTTGTGCTCCAGTAAAAAGGCAGAGAACAGACATTCTGCATTAATCACTTTTTGGTCTTTTGTTTCCGAAGAAAAATTTAATTTTTCGTTTTTTCAAAACAACTCATGTTGTCCTTGTGTTTTGTGTACGCACATGTTTGAGAACATCTGCCCTTCCACCAAGCGAAATCGAAAAATCGCAACGACAGATGGTACAGATCGCAAATTTATTACATTTCCTTGAAGAAATAATGGAAGGAAAGTCAACTGTGTACGATTTTTTAAACGTGCACGAGTATTTCACCTTTCTCGCAGACATATCAAAAGACGATAATTTCTAAAACTATTTCCCTAAAGGCACGTGTACTCACACAACTCAGGACAAGATGAACGAAATACGAAATAACGAAAGAAACGAAATAACGGCCCAACGGCCAAAGAACGGCTTTGCAATGGCCTTGAGCTTGCTTTGTGCTCATTGGCTAATATATGCCAGATGACACGCAGTGGAGCTCGATGCCCATTGGACAACTGGAGAACGACGTTTCTGGATACGTATGCTGTCACTCACAAAGCAGAAATTCTCATCCTGATTCGCAAGGTTTTCATTTTAGATATAATCTAGAGAAAATTCAGTTGCTTTCAGATGTCCAAAATCTTTTTTTTTTTTTTTTGTTTTGTTCATATAACGAAGTATTAAGCCAAGTTCCATAAAAATCGTGAGAAATATTAAGAATAAGAAAAAGGTCGGGAGAAATATATTGTAAATCGGGTTGGCGGGAGAGCGGTCGAAAATCGGGAGTCTCCCGCCTAAATCGGGAGAGTTGGCAACTCTGTAGATGGTATGTTTACAATTTCCTCAGGAATAGCAACTTTTGCAATGCGTTCATAGTATTTTCTGGCATTTCTTTTCTTGCAGTTTGAACATACAATCTTATTCAGCACATCACATACAGGAGCATGAAGGTCAGATAGCTGTTTCAATAAACATCTTTTTGCATTGCTGAAAGTCATAAAGGGACATGTTTTTATTGTAATATCTGTTGAGGAAGGAATTCATCATCATTATTTGCAAAATGCAGAAAATATTTTAGTAAGTCACGTAATGGCTTTCATTTTCACATGGATAATAGGGAAGCATTTGATCTTGCTCATCAATGCCTATCATAAATTCTTAATATTGAATTACAGGGTTTTGATTTCATTTAGCCTATATTGTTTTTCATTTCTATAACACTTTTTTTTTTTTTCAGTAGAAATGTAAGTGATATCTCTTTCTTCCCTCCACTTAGCAATCATAATACCATTAGCCTACTTTGCTACAATGTGCCCTTTCTTTAGTTCTTCTTTCTCTATCCTCTTTCAGAAATGTCTTCCTGTTCTTTCTGATTATTCTAATGCAATGTATTTTTCTATCAACATGACATTTTGCCAGTTCACAAATGTTACAATAATTGTCTACTAATATGCTATTTCCTATATCTAGCATCCTACATCCGAAATCTCATAGGAATCTTTGGGAAGAAAGAAATCCTCGACATTGTTACCATTATAACTAAAATCATCCGGGTAATCATTTGATAGCTCAGCCAACAAACTTGTAACCTTATGAGCTATTACAAGTCTTTTATTTTTCTCTTTTCTTTGATGTGAAAGCCTGTAACTATCATCTGTACAACTTGTTAGATGATTTTTTTTTTTTTTTTTTTCCAATAAGTAAAAGGAATTAATTTGAAGCCAAACACATTTACAACTAGTTTCTAACATTCATTATATGCTAGTATTAGCATATGTGCTCAAAATGTTATGCCGATTTAAACAGAGAATGAAGTGTTGAGGTGAGCTGTAGCTTTTTCAGCATCAGCACGTGATTAGCACGTAACACATCACCCCATACCATGCACAAATGCATGATTGGCTCTTCCACAACAATTCCACATCACATACCAGTGCATACTGGGAACAAACATGTTAAAAATATTAAGTATGTGCTAAGTAACTAACTCACAGAAAAAATTTCTAGAGCTCAAAATTAAATTTCTTATATACTCTTCATAAAGCTAAATATGTTTCTTATTTTGAGAGTTCTTTGATAAAAATTCTGACTTTTGTGATACCTTGTTAACTTTTAACAGTTCAGCGTAATAAAATTTTTTACATTTTCTTACCATTCTCCTTATTCAAGGGAAAGAATTTCAAATGCTGCTTTTCAGCTTCCGATATCATTTTTTCACATTTTCCCACTCGAAATTTTTGAAGAATAAAAGTGAACTGCTAACCATAACAACACCTGGAAACAGAATGAAGAAAATAAGAAACCAGTTAGCTCAATTCCTCACATACAAATGAAAAAGAAAAACCGATGAAAGGAGACGAAAATGTAGTACAGTATTTCAAATGAAGATTTCAGCAAACAGGCAACAAGCAAAGAAATGGGAAAAAAATAAGAGCACAGTCAAGCATGTGGTTTTAGGTAGAAAGTTTAAAAAATGGAAGCAATTTTAAAAAATAGAGAAAAAAGTAATCATCTCTACTTTAACAATAAAAGAAATAATGGCCATTTTGCAAAATACTAAAAATGTTTACACTAATTTAAAAAATATAATAAAAAATTCAAAACAGCTATAGTTACAAATGATAAGTAGATTTTGAAAGAAATAAAAGCAAACTTCACTTTTTAAATTTTCTTTAATGAGTTTGTTTATATTCAGCAGCATTACATAAAGTCAAATTATATTATTGAGAAAATAATGCTAATACAACTTCCTCATCAAATAAACATAACTTCAGATTCAGAAGCCAAAATTTTCGACTTTTTGACCGAATTTTGATATTTCAAAATTTTATATTCAACTTGGCAGGTTTATAAGCTGAATTCAAATGCTACAGTGAATAATTGAAGATTACACAGTAATATGACAATTATATGTTTTTTCATAAATATATATTGCAACAGCTTAAATGATCTTGGAAAATACTTTCAACAGTTTTCTTAATCAAAGACTTCAGCCCTCACATTACAGTTTCAGTATTTGTTCTCTTCTCTGCTTATTCTCTTCTATAAGAACTTGGCATATATTGCAACTTCTTTGAGAAACGACATAAAATGAAGTACCTACACTACAGGTTTCATCTTCACTTTAGAAAATTAGATTATTGCTGTTAAATGTTTCATAAACACAAAAACCATATAATGAAGAAGCAAATACCATTAATCTACATGGGAAAAGTCTTTGAGTATTTCATGGCTTTCAAAGTAACTTATGAAATCATACCAAAATACTTTTAAATTTCTCAATGGTAATGGTGCAGATTTTTAGATTTGCTCTTGAAAAACTGCTTTTACACAGCATTCACTAACTAGATTTTTACAAATACTTTTTCAATCTCTGTTTTCATAACCTTCTGCTCAAATAGGATAATAGTAAAATTGTTACAGAAAATAATGCAAAATATTTTAAATAGCAAGGTAGTACTCTATACCAAATAACAATAAATCTCATGATTGGATAAAGACAATCACGCCATTCAGTTAAAAGTCTAAAATAACTAAACATATATAATTTATACACAGTCCATATAAATAGAAATAACTATGCAGTATAATTTCAACTATGAAATGAAAAATAAAGCAAGCTTATTATAAAATTTCCAAGTGGCAACCATATTATTGATACAGCAAGTAACTGCAGATATGACAGTGGGAGATCCAAGACTTGGAATGTACAAAAGAAAGGATAAGGGTCAGCTAGTGGTATCTTATTATCATCTGTATTCACGAGATAATTGTGATTACAGTTTTAATGCCTCTTGGAATAAACCTAGAAAATCAAGATTTGCTGTTCTCTTTTCTGTTGTGAAAAGGTACAAAAAGGTAGTATGCTTGGTTGCTGATTCATTTTTTCCCTCCTAGTATACATTTCCTCACAAGCAATCAAAATATCTTCTAAAAGTGCATTAAGCTTACATGCTATATAATTAGTCGTACATTTCGATAATCATAGAAAATGTACTAGAGCACAGTTTTACTTTTCACCTTTATTTGTAAAAGCAGAATCATTTTTGGGTTTCTTCAATCAAGTGAGAAAACATACTAATGTAGATCTCTTGTGAAAGCAAAATTTCATAAAGCCAACATTCATAAAGTGGTAAATAAGTTGCTTTTTAAAGAACTGATACAATGAGCTGAAACATTTTGAGTAATTCTCACACCAGATATTGTGCCTGTGCTTGTAATCTTTTGATAGAATAAGTCTAGCAGTAAACCTCAAATCTAATAGATCTAAAAAATTTACAGAAAATTTAATCACCAGGGAAAAAAGATAACGCTGCTTAACTGCATGAAATATTTAATAAAATTCTGCAGCACAGAAAAATCAGTGATTGTAGAACTTCATTATACAGTAAGGAAGGCCAAAGTGTGATCTTCAGCCACTTTGATGAACCTAGCACAAACAAACAGCAAATGTATTTTTCAAGTTTTCTTGCACAAAAGTTAAAACTTGTATGTATATTAAACAAAGGCTTATTCGATACTGTTCAACGTTCAGGGCCAAATATGGCATAAATATTTTTTGGTGATAATGTAGTATGTGATCTATTGCTTTTAGTTAATAATTTCTTAGATGCCACTACAATGCTAGTTTAAAACATGAAAATAATTGCAAATAATTAACAACATATAAATGAAAAGATCATTAATTAAGTTAATGAAATATTAAATTTAAATTTCAGTATTTTCAATAATTAAGTGTTAACAGATTTATAAAATAAAAAGGTACTTTGGGATTATTCGGTCGAGTATTTTCGCCAAACCCGATATTATCGGCAAAAAGGTTTTTTCAGGAAGAGACTGAACACCTGAAGGAGTAATTAAGCATCCAAGAAATGATACCGATGACTTTACCAGAATACATTTAGAAGAATTCAATTTTAATCTGTATTTTTGCATTCTATCAAAAATCAAACGCAGGTGGCTCTCATGCTCTTCAGCATACTTCATTTGCTGAAGCCACAAGCAAATCATCAACGTAAGGAACACACAATTCTAAACCAGAAAGTACATAAAAGATTAAATATCCGGAATTCTTGCATTTTGCAAACCAAACCGTGTTTTGAGGAACTCAATAATCCAAATGGGTTTTCTAGTTGTTTAAAGCAAATCCTCTAGATTGACAGAGATTTAATGACTAGTTAACCCTTTGAGGGGTGCGATATATAAAATAATTTAAATTGTGGCAAAGTTTTGCATGAACTATAATTTATGCACCCTAAGGACACAAAATTGAGACTTAAAAAAATCTAGAGTAAAATCCTGAATTTTGAGAGCCAGTATGTCCCTCTAAGACATTTTTTCCCAGGTAGCTGCAAATTGTTAATTTTTGTTTTTAAAATTAATTTTGCATACTTTTGATGCGCATTTGTAGAGATGAGTGCTTGAATATAGTTATGTAAGTCTGAAGACAAAAACTTTTAAAATTTCGGTAGAAATTAAAAATTTTAAAAATAAAATTTATGTTTTTATGCACTTTGATGATGGAACCCAGCTGAACATACTTATGTAAAATATGAGTAAAAAGCTTTTGAACTTGATTTAAATTCAACATTTTTATTTTGTAAAAACATTTAGCAAATATAACACTACATGCGTAAATCATATCATGCTGAAACTCAGAGGTGGGAAAAAGCCGGCCCGCGGGCAGCTTATTTTATCCGGCCAGTTGAAAAATCCTGCATGCAATTTTTTTAATCTCTTATATGCCGTAACATCCTCTTAAAATATATCTTTTTTAATCTCTTATATATATGTCTTATTTCTTAATAATATATATATATTATTTTATTGTAATAACTAAATTATTTATTTGCAGGCCTTTGTAAAATGAGTCAATCTAAAAAAAGAAAAGTTGATTTGGAATGCAGAAATTTCAATGAAGCATGGACGGTAAAATACCTTTTTACAAACACTGATAAGAAAGCAATTTGTTTAGTTTGCCAGGAAACAATTGCTGTTTTCAAGGAATACAATTTAAACAGGCATTTTAAATAAAACATCCAAAATATGCATCACTTTCTTTAAAAGAACTTCAAAGTGCAGCAGAAAATATGACGAAAAACTTGAATAAGCAACAAAATATTTGTACCAAGCAAAGTAGCATCGAGAAATCTACCACAAAATCAAGTTATGCTGTTGCACACAAAATTGCTAAGTTCTGTAAACCTTTTACTGAAGCAGAATTTGTTAAACAATGCATGATACAAGTGTCAGAGATATGTTGTCCTGAAAAAAAAAAAACATATTTTTGAAAATGTAAGCCTTTCGAGAAGAACAATAATACGACAGATCGAAAATATTGCAGAAAATTTACTTGAACAGCTAAGAACAAAAATTGTTGATTTTATATTTATATTTTAATTGTTGATTTCTGTGGCTTTAGATGAGTCCTGCGATATTACTGACACAAGTCAATTATTCAATATTTTTCCGAGGTATTAACAAGAAATGTGAAATTAGCGAGGAACTTCTTAGTGTGCATCCAATGAAAGATACAACTACCGGTGAAGACTTCTTGATCGCTGTTGAAAAGTGTTTAATTAAAGTAAATTTAACTTGGAACAAAATAGTAAGCATCACTATGGCTGTTCTAGTTTAACAGGAACCAAATGTGGGTTTACTAAAACGAATCAGCGACAAAGTAAAAGAGTTGCAGCCAGAACGGGATATATTATTTTTACACTGCATTATTCATCAAAAAGGGTTATGTAGAAAAGTCTTGAAATTGAATCACGTCATTACTGTTGTGACACAAGTTGTGAATTTTATCCGGGGACGTGCCTTAAATCATCGACAGTTTGTTGAATTTTTTAAAGAAATTGAAAGTGACTTTTACGAAATTCTTTATTACGCTTCAATAATTAACGATAAGCTTCAAAAAGCTCTCCAGGAAAAAAATCAGGGCTTTGCATATGGAAGAAGCGTTGAATGGCTTGTTTCACTTCAGTATTGCTTCCAAAGTGCCTTTCCCCGAGATTTTTCTTCAAAGCTGGAAACAGATGGAAGTCGCTTGGTGCGAGATCAGGACTGTATGGCGGATGGTGTAGGCACTCCCAACCAAGAGTTGCAATATGGTTTTGCGTTGCCATCACCGAATGTGGTCTGGCATTGTCATCCAACAGCAGAACGCCAGGCCGCTTTTTCCGAATCGCCTCTTTCAATTTCGACAGGGTGTCACAGTAGCGCGTAGCATTGATGGTTCCAACCTCCAAAAAGTCCAGCAACAAAACTCCTTG